TTTAAACTGGTTTTACCAGCTCGATCCTGACCAACGAGTAGTATTCTACTGCGGTAAACCATGACATATCCATCTTTCAAAGCCTTTTTATAAGCCAGCTGTTCTTCAAGTCTATCTGCTACTTGGCCTAACAAGAAAAATATTTCACAACACAAAGAAGAAAGTAATTTGTGCATTGATAAATTTGTACAAAATAATTGAAAACAAAAGCAAATGAAAAAGTTGACAAATCAACTACTACATATGCCTAACATGAATAATGTTGGAATTGGTTTTTTTTCCAATGTTAATGCATTAGTGAGTTTGGAAAACACATAAATTCCACTCTTACATAAAAGTTACACAGTCAATCAAAATAATTCTTCTGGCATAAAACGTAGAGATGAATTTGGTGAACATGCACACCAAAACTAAACTGACTCAATTTTTTCATAACATCAAGAATTCAAACCACTTTGACTGATCACACAAGATAGAGCCAATGATCTAACTTAAATCAATTCTACCAAGAATTGACCCGTTTTCGGGTCTTGGGTCTTTGTTTTCAAGGGTCTTCGTTTTCACTACAACAGTAATCACACAGCGGTGGTAGTGTGTGATTACAAACAAAAGTTACGAAAAACTCGGTTTTGGTAAAAACGATCTGCGATTGCTGATTATCAAAAGCGCTTACGAAAATATCCACATACAATTTTAATGACGAAACAGAACCATTCGCAACTTGTTGCTTAAGTTATAAAATCCTTAGCTACATCCCTATGAAAAGATATAGAAATTTCTCTCCCAAACAAAATAGGAGACGATCGTATGAGCTCAACAATTTGAACTTAATCCTCAAAACGAGAGGGAGTTTTAAAATAGGAAAGAAAATCCCTAAATCTTAACGAAGAGCGAGTGAGTTTAGTCGAAACCTTACCTAACACGATGCAAACAAAAGAATTATGCAAAACCAAAGCAATTCCAAATATTTTTGACACTCGACTGAAAGTTTCCCATGAGCAGTTCTCCTTTCCACTTACCACTTGCAGTTTTAACTTGATCATCATTCAGGGAGTCGAAGACTTCATCCACAGAAAGGACAGAAGGTTCCGATTTATCAAATGGATCACCATGATTGTTATCACATCTCGAATGCTCCAACATTTCGGCATCATCCGTATCTGTTGCAACCAATTTATAAAAAAAAGTAATAAAGATCTAATGACTTAAATAACTCTAATTTTTTTTTGTAGCTATAATAGCAAATCCAAGGAAAACGTTACTCTTACGTCCAAATATTTCATTCCTATTCGATTTTAATTTGAATCCATCATGGCTTTTTCCCAAATATCAATCTTCCAAATATTCGAACATGTTTTTATCTATATAATCGCGATAAGAAAACGTCACTCGTTTTGTTACAATTTCTTTCCGTATTTCTACTTAATTGCAATGTATGTCATAAAGTGAAATAAATACGCAGGTTTGAAAAATTTAAAAAAAACGGTTATAAATATCTATTAAATATAACATCAACTCCATTTTCAAGAATCCAGTGTGAAACGGAGACAACGTAGGAAAGAAAAAGTATCTGAAGTCATGGTATTATTGAATTGCAAATAAAAGTGGAAGCTTACATTTTGATTCAATGCACTCATCCTCATCTGGAAATTCACTGGTAGACGGTGACTGACAAATTGATGTCTCATCGTCCGCGAAGTAGCCGCTTTGATCGTCGTCATTTTCCGGAAAACTATCGGGTTCCAAAGCTTGGGATTCATCAGTACCTGCTGTAACCAGAAGAAAAAAATTGGCATTTAAAGCCTAAGAAGTAATTATTGTCCGACGCAGCTTTTGATGTGACTCTGGGTAAAGTTTAAGTAATAATTCGAAACATTTTAATAAAATTACAGAAAACATTGGTTAAAATCTCAAGTGCGATGGTACAATAAACTTACTTACTAACCAAAGCGAAACTCTTGAGAACAATTTAGTTTGAATTGGATATAAATTGAAACAAATATATAAAAACCACATCACAATCAAAACTGAAGAATCTTTTGAAACACATGAAGAAATAGGGAAAACAGTCATAGTATCGTATACTCCAGTAAGAGGTGCTAAACATTACTGCCTGAAAACGGAAAACAGAAAGCATAGAAAACAGCTGACGCGAATAAAAGATAGTTAGGCTTACAACAGATTTCCTTCTTGGCAGTTGCACGCTTGAGTTCTACCCAATCAATAGTTACAGTCTGAACATTACAAACGATTTCTTCTGACAACCTGCGACGAGACAAGAAATAAATTCAGTAATGCAGCGACTCTTCAGCCCAAATTACCGAGAATGAAATCAATTCAAATAATTCCCCAACAAATAATTAGCGCTCTGAAATACTTTGACCACTAAAACTGGCATTTTGGATGGTTGTTTAATATTTTCACCACTAGACTTACGGTATTCCCATGGACTAAGGAAGTTGCACGGCGAAAATCTAGTCGTTTATATTAGGCAACCCTTCCGCTACGGACTCCAGAATGAAAGGTTCAGGTTTGAAACCTTCCCGGCATGATGTGTAATACTTTTGGGCAGTACACTGTACGGTACCTCTGTCCACTCAGGGGTATGTATTGGTACCACTTAAACAAGGAGAACCTGAGGGAACACTTAAGGGTTACCTGCTGGAGCAGCAAAATGTTTAATCAATCCCTTTTAGAGAAACCGGGATACGATTTGACAGCGATATCGCCCGGTCTTGAATGCAGATTTTATTTTACCTACGTATGACTAATAGAATCAACACCTTTTGTGAACATTTTGAAGGTATTCTGCTAAGTTTTGATGTCCCCTAGCTCTGGCAGTGTCTTCTGGCAAGATGGAGCTGTTCCTGTAAGTTTGAAAGACTGATTCTCCGGCTGAAGTACTGAAGATTATTTCAATACATTCGCGATCATTCGTTGCAGCGGCTGCGAATAGTATACACTGTAGAGCTTTCAGTGACAATATGTCCTTGCTCTCATCTGCCATTAATGGTCTATCCACCACAAACGAGGAGGAAGACGGACTGCACACTATCAAAATTAAAAAAAAAATTATCAAACATGGCAATGGCTCATCATCAAACTTCATAGCCAATCACATGACACGCAGAAAACGCCATTAACATTATAAAGTACTTTCTGTCCATGAAAGTTACTGAAGCTAGAAATACGTGTTTACAACTCACAATCCTCCACTTTACTGCGAAGAAGGGCTACAACTCCAAACGCCAGCCTCCAAAATTTTCTACAGTGACTTATCTAACTTAATCGACTTGCAGATGTTAATCAAATGATTGTCGTCACAGAGTAAGATGCCATGTATCAACTTAAGAAACAAACAGAAAGTCTGACCTGTTCCTGCAGAAAGGGAAGGATTTAACGTTTGGTGGTCCAGTGGTATGTTACTCTTTGTGACAGACATTTTACTAATCAGTATTTGGAGTTCTTGAATAACATTCGGATAGTATTCGAATTCCGTTTCATCGGGCGAGTTCCATGTACCATCTGGAGAACCCACGGTAACGGCGACCTTCCCAAGAATTTCAGAGGCTGAAATGAAAAATCAATCAAGGAAATCTGAGAAAAACGTCACTGTAAGGACGAAGCAGCACGGGTTTGACGAATTCATTTATTTACTTGATTTATCAAACTTTATTGATAATCGGATACCCATATTACCTATCGAGATTGTTGCGTGCACTTTTGACCCTTTTTTTATAATCTTTCTCGAAACAGCTGTATGCGGAAAGAATTACTGATGATGATACTTTTTCCTTTTACTTACAACTTTGGCTTTCATTTGACAAAATTTTGAATTAGCCTGCTGATGTACTTTGACATCAAAATGTAACACAAATTTCAGATACAATGGAAGCTATAACAAAATTCTTGAACGTGATTGGCTATCACCAGCCCGATTTGAGCAGTAGTAGGACGGTGTGCACGTCATGCTTGTGATTGGACAGTGTAATAGGACAGTTAAGGGAACATGTAACACGTCATTCCTGTTTTGATTAATTGGTAACAAGAATTCGCGTTATCCAGTTCGTATAGGTAATCACATGATTTCGAGTGCAATTTGGAATAAATAAGCACGAGTACATTTTTTTAAAGACTAACAAAATTGCACGAGCCCTTAGGGCGAGTGCAATTTGTGGTCTTTGAAAAAATTAACAAGTGTTTATTCCAAATCCCAAGAGAAAAATCATGTGATTACGTGCTAATAATATACATGGAAAAATACGAGATGGCTAATCATAATTAAGCATAAGCAAAGCGTGCGCACCAAGTCCAAAAAATAATTTATTCAAACCGTGCCTTCGGTCAAAACAACCGCGTACGATCAAAACAATGATATGCAATGATATCTTCATATCGTTAAGGCGCAAAAAAGTTCAAGGAATTGTCCAGTCTGTTTCCGAATCACTTTCAATCAAATGGAAGCGTCGTTTCCGAGGTTTAACCATGTTTGTTTTTAATTTTGGCGTTGGATCGCTCGAGCAAAGTGTTAAGCTGGGTCGACTCGTAATTCTCGATTTCCTTGGCAATTCCCTTCTCTAAACACCACCAACCCGACAACCAAAACGCAGTGCTTTTTAGTGTTTTCTTTGTTTGAGCTGTTTACGGCTGCGGTGGCGAAAGAAAACCTACTTAAAACGCCGGCCATTGTTTCGCTCGCAAATGTTCAAATTTGAGAATTTGTTGCGACATTCAAGGCTCGCATTTGATTGGCTATCTGTGAGTTTCTTTGATTATTGACCAATCAGAATGTCTTATTTATTACTTTCTTTGCACTGAATTAACTCTCTTCTGTACTGAATTACCTGAAAACTGCATTTATCTTAACCAATCAGAACTGAGTAATTTTTCCATGTATATTATTATGTCTGAAATCATACTCGTGATTACCAAATCGGACTCTCGCTTTGCGGTCGTCCGATTTTGTTAATCACTCATATAATTACAGACCGAACTGGACTCTACTCGGTCCTATTACCATGATAAATCAACATACCTGGGCTATGCCCAGCGTAGACACCTTCAGTAACTGGTGTTAAGTCTGCAAATCCAACTCCTTTAAATAGAGCTCTCAGTGACGCGACATTTTCTGGAATACCATTTACATTTAGGTAAAGAAGGAAATCTGTACCACCCTATTCAGTGACAAAGATCAACACAATACGAAGAATAAGTAGGATGAATAATTTAAAAAAAAAAAAGCAGAATACCATGATGTGTCGAAAAACAATTAGGTATCATTGTCTTTCTTCCCACGTGGATCGTGTGGTTTCAATTGCGCACTGCGAGTCTTTTCAGTCAATGACTTCGACTACTTACGAGTGACTCTATAATCGATAATGCTACTCCGTGATCAGCGGGTTTTCATAAAAAAAGAAAAAAAAAGGTAAAAGTGGTTGTGAGCCACGAAAAGAGTCCAAAGGTGTACGTAAAGGCCATTTTAACTAGTTTCAAATCACAGTAAGGAAATGTAAATCATTGTGGGTTATTCTTTCTTGACTTCGTAGTTACCAGGTCTTCTTCCAAAGCAACCGGCAGATCAAACTCTTATTTTTGCTTAGTTATAAGTTTAAAAAATAATGAAATAAAAATAGTGATGATAATAATAATGATAATAATAATAATAATAGTAAATACCGTTATGGGGCCTTCTTTGGGGCAAAGTGTTATTATCACTGCAATCAAGGAGGAGAAAAAAGTTAAAAGAAATTGAAGAATTTTTGTCACCTGTAATGCTGATAAAAAAGTAACACCAATATTACATTATTAGCTAACATAAATTTAATAGCTTTTGGTTGATCTAGAGACAAAATATTTGGAACGCTGAAAAGGAGGGATAAATTTCTGGTTGATTCAACATGGTCCTCTTCAAAGTTCAATTAATCCAGCCACAAGCTACAGGTTAAATGGAAAATGAGTTAACCTTACAGTTGTATTGGGGGTGTGAGGGAGGCACGAACACTGATATAGAGAGGACTTTTAAGAAAAAGGAATAGCCTCCAAGTTTAGGATCCATTAGCTTAAGCCACCAGATCAATTCTTACACTTCCTTTCAGCCATCAAGTTAGGATAATTGAGATTTACAAATATCATGTTCTTTTCATTTTATGGCTTATTACAGAAACAAAAGATAACAATAACTACCTGGCTCAAAAATGGAGATTCCCAGGACATCTTGATAGAGTTCGTTGACCTCTCTGTCAGACAAGCTCCCCTGTTCAGGAAACAAGATAAAAAGAATATGGTACAATAGTAAGCATAATAGTATAATCACTCATCTGAAGTAATGTGTCTATGACTACAGGCTTAAAAACTGGACTCTACTTCTGAGTCATAAATAAATATCATATAGCTGATGAGAAGTTTGGCTTAAAAATTTACCATACCTGATCATCAGTGGCAATCCTTTGTGGAAAGATTTCTATGAAATGATCAAATCAAAAAAGAAAGTTGTGCCATAAAATTAGCTTGTAAATAACCTTTAACCTCTATATATTGTATTGATAAGAATTTAGACAAGTCATCTAGTGCATAGCTGGTTTAGCACCTTTTATCCCCTCAATGACTTTTGAAATTTCACCAATAACCCATAAGAAATTCCGTCAACAGCATGCAAAGGCACCTAAGAATTGTAAGACAAGCAAGCTCAGGCACCCATGAATACAGGCAATTAACTTAAGTGGGGTTACTTCAGAAGTTAAGACATGTAAAAGTTTTCTTTCGCCCATAAATTGTTCGCATAATCTGCTCTTTTACGGTAAAACCTTTCTTTACTCAGCAAGTAAATCACTTGATTCAAATTATACACCCAAGGGACTATACAGCAACCAAAGTTGGAAGCAAACCATGAGTACTTACTAAATATGAAAGCATTCTATTGCTTGTCTACAAGAGTTTTCTTTAAAAAACATTTTTTTCATAATAAGTATCAATCATTTTAAAACTTGATTCCCCTAGCTAAAATTTCAGAATGTACTAATGTGTTACTTTTTAAAGGAAAATATTGCTCTGAAATTGTGCAGTTTACAGGAATGACTGTGACTTTGTGAATAGTATAGCCACAGTTATTAGTTGGTGTGAAACACATTGCACATAGTTGCATTTACAAATAAACAAAAATATTTTTAGTTTACCTTCCAAGCTTGATCCTTCTGAAGGGCTACAAATAATTCATACAGATCAACAGTTTCAGCAGATTTGCAACAAAAAAAGGCAGATCTGGTTTAATCAACTTACTATACAGTTACTACCAGTACTTCCCTTGAGTTGCACGTGTTTGGTCCATAAAATAAGAAACATGATGTCAAGATTTGGCTTTTAAAACATATCAAATAGTAATCACAGGTTAGGATAAACAATAAAGGTTGCACTGTGTATATTTTTTTGGTGCAATGGTGAACAAAATTTGTCTTTAATATCCCATAATTATTTTCATGTTAAATTTGATAACATGACAGTTTGTTGTTCATTTGTGAACAGTTCAACATGTCCAATTTTAGCACAGATAATTTCTTAGGCTTCATGTCATTGATATAGCAGTTTGATTATGAAGCGCCATCAATCAATTTGAAGCTTCAAAATCCCCACCAAGTAACACCTTTGGCATTTTAACTTTTGAAGATTGGTTAGTAAAAATTCCCACCCCCAGGGCAAAAGTAGTGTTCAAATGACCCACCCCATTTTCTTGGTAATAGGCAAAATTATGCAGTAACCATGACTCCTTGTAGACCTTTTGTTCCTTGCCATTTACTATCAGAAGTGATTGAACTATTTGCCTAAAAACATCTCCATATTTAAAGCATTAACACCTAATTCAGCTGGAAAGACTTGACACTTCTGGCTCAAATTCCTCATCCCAGCCAGGCAAACTATTAAGTTCAAGTCCCCCACCCTCCAGGTACTGAAGATGGTCACAAGCCCATGGGTTGTCCATTTGGGGGGGCAGGTGTTGAGGCTACAAATTGATCTGCACATAACAGTTGTGCAATTAAGTTTGATTCCCTCTTGAGAAGCGAGAAACAAAAATAAATTTCACTTACTCCATTGAGGAATTTTGCAAATAGCGTTCCATTCCCATACTGCGACTAGCTGCTTCTTCAGTTTTTCCTAAGTAATACACCAATCAATAAACACCAATTAAGAATGAACACTTAATTATCATCATAAAGTTAACTCATCAGATAAAATATTCACAGAGCAGCTTCAGTGAATTAATGTTCAAAAAGGAAGGGTACTATCTGACAGATAAAAGTAAACAGCATGATACTACTAAATTAACCTTAAAAAAAGCAACCGTAACAATGAAAAAGCTCCAATTTTAGTCTGCATAGAAGACACCAGTTGTATCATGCTTTAATTGATTGGTGGACATTAATTTATTTTAAATTGAGGTCGAACTCTAATAGTTTGGAATGGATTTCAGCTAATAAATGACTGTAAATATTTGAAAATCATATATGTGAACTGTGGTTGAAGAAACGAATATGGAAGCAATCCTCGCAGTTATGAATACTAATTATTAAAATAAGTAGTAGTGAAAATAAAGCCTGAAAAAAATTCAGGCCTGTACGGGATTTGAACCCATGACTCGTGACCCATGACCTATGAATTCATGGGTGCAAATCCTATACAAGCCAGAAATTTTTTCAGGCCCTACAGTATTTTCACCACTGCTTAAATAGTGTTCATAACTGCAAGGGTCACTTCCATATTCGAATTTCAGTTAGTAACAATTTGGTACAAGAAGAAACCCAGGGCTTTGACTGCAAGCCTGCTTAGCCATTTGGAGCTTTTGTTATCATAATGTTTATGAAAATCAGTACTGAACAGATCTGAGATCAATCTTTCCTCCCTCAGTTGTCACTTATCCCTTTTATTAGATGAGCAATGGCAAGCATTCAAACTAAATTGATACCACTATTTCCACAACAGCCATTAAATACATTTTACCTGTTGAATGCTTGGTGTTGTCATCAACACCAGATGCATCCTCGACAGTAGATTCAAAACCAGACTCTGAGGAGTTTTTATTTTCAGCATATCTCCTAACCTGGAAGTACAGAGAAAGAACAAAAATAAACTACTTTAAATGCAAAAAAAAATTACACAGGAACTTAACCAATATGAAAATGTCTGGCCAAACAAGAGCCTAAATATGGCCTGACATTTGATTTATTTTCAACATTCAAGTTCTGTTTTCAACATTCCAGTTTTATTTTCATCATTCAATTTTTTCTGTTAAATGTCATGTTAGCAATTTAAAAATGAACTTTTAAGAACAAAAGCCCTTCTTTGCCTTAAAACGCATACCTTACTGCAATCAATCTAAGTTGCAGAAACATGCCAAAAAAGATTCAAAGTTGAAGTTTTTTCTTCAAAACTCAACTATTTGCTTCAACAATCAAATCTTTACACCAACATTCAAGTCTTCCTTTGAACATTCAAGATTTCCTCATGCATTAAATTCTTTGCTCAAATTTTAAGTTTTGAATTCAAAATGCAAGTTTTCATTTGAACTTCACACTTGGCTGACTCAGTCACACCTACCACAGGTCAAACATGCACACTGCAAGCCCAACCAGCATGCCTTGCTGGTGTACATAGCATTACGTGTTTTGAGGGGAACAACAGAATTACTTAACATGGATGAACAAATTGAGTAGTACTTGGACCTACAGATTCATTTTGAACATAAGCATTAGGAGTCATAATAGCAGTATTTTGAGTTTGATGCAGCATGCAGCACCATGTTGCATCACAAAGTACACATTTTTATCCATCTTCAGGGTTGATTGCAGAGTAAAAGTCAAATATTATGGCTGCCCACCGCTTAACAATTGAATTTTGACAGGGATTTAATGCCATAGTTGAACAATGCTGAGTTTGGGACTAAAAGATCCTTTGTTGTGCTTGATACCATTTGTTTCCAATTGGCAGGGAGAGAGTAAAACATATTTATCCACTTTTTGAAACTACCATGAGTGACCAAGTCTAAACTTCTCCTTACAGTATCAATTAAATATCAAGCAGACAAGTGATAAGAATGAAAAAAATCAATCAGGGGATTATCAGATAACATCAACGAAATGAATTAAACCAAAGTTGTACAGTTTTTGATTGAAAAAAGATTTTACGTTATGTAAAAGCACAGGCATGCAGATTGGAGTAAACTTGGATAATGTTGCAAAGTCTCACTGAGAGACATCTTTTGTAAAATGGCAGAAGAGAATTTATAGTCATAGAACTTAAGGAACAGAAATTACAGTGATGTGATGATTCTACCACTCCCATTAAAGAAAAAAAGCCTAATGTGTGTTTCCAGAAAATATCCATACCCCCACCACGGAGGGAATTGGAAATTCCAGAGGGGTGGGGGGGTCAAAGTCCCAGGAAATTCCAGAGGGGATGGGGGGTAAGAGGCGAAATTTTCGTCCAGAGGGTAGGAAGTCGATCGACTTTCTTCGTATGTCAATTGGCGCCTTTTACCTACTTTAGTGGGACGTTCTGAAGTTTAAGTTGTTAAATTACGATGCTTCTAACAGTTCTGCAGCCAAAGAAAGTTTTCTTTTATCCTTGTAGCGCTTTGGAATATAAATAACATCAAATAAAGAAGAGAATCACTTTGTTTTTCGAACGGAGCCACCATTACTCGTTACCAGTCTCCAAAGATTACAACCAACAGGAGTGGTTACCTAGGGATTTTCCTCGGTCATAACACGTTTCGCATTCGTAAAATTTACAAATAACTGTCTCGGTCTCGCCAAAAAAAAAAAAAAACGCTGGTCCTGCCGTCTCGCAAAGTTTCGCATAAATTTACCATTCACTACCCCTTATTGACTCCAGCCATCTATTAATTTTGATCTGCACTGAGCTTAATTCCGTTACATCATAATGTGTAGGAGACTTGACGATTTCTTTATGGCTTACTTGCTTGCGATGTTACAATGAATGATAAGTACAGTCGTACCGTAGTAGAAAACAGTTGATAGTAACATTGAGAAACACTAGGATCCAGGGCTTTGTATATATGCGCGTGGGACTGGTAACTAGCCAAGGTTTGTTTATGCACAATCGGACGAAATTATCGACCCGCTGTTAACAAGAATCAATGCTTGTGTGGAGAAATTTTACATTAGAGGCTGGAATTTGGAAAGATGAGTTCAAAATAACTTACTGCTGACTCGGTTTTCTCTTTTGCTCTCTTATTTATGACACAATTTTGTACAAATTTACGTTGCTCAATGTGATTTCGAACGTTTCCATTTCAAGTGCACGCAATTTTCTCAGTACATTGTACAAACTTAACAGTTCAAAAGTGTTTTGTTGCGACTTGTACAGTTTTTTTCTCCTTTCGTGTACTGAGAATACTGTGTTAAATGTTTAAGGATAAGTATTGTATTTAAAAATAAAGCAAACATTAAGTTTAAGCTAGTTAGCGACGTTTACCTTGCGCGTGTACGCCATCTCTCGAATATACACGCGACAAAATCACACGTCCCTCTTGTTTGTTGTTTGCTACGAGAAAAAAATATATTTCCAGGGGGTATAGGGGGTGGTAGAAAATTCTTTGGAAATTCCAGAGGGGTGGGGGGGCTACCACTGCTACCCCAAAATGGAAAATCCGAAGGGGTGGGGGGGTCCTACATGAAATTCCCTCCGTGGTGGGGGTATGGATATTTTCTGGAAACACACAATATGCAGTTCTTTCATAAATTTTATACTCATTTAATAATTTATGGAAACATTGTGTTGATAAAGTAGAATCATCATCTTTTAACTTGTTTATAGCCAAAAGGACTTGAGCAATTTTTTAGGTCTTAGCAAAAATTATTCAAGCTTGTTTTTTTTCCAAATTACACTTGAATTCATGTAAACACCTGCACATACACTGATAAAATAAACAACAACTGAAATCATTATCAAAAGTACCTTTTTAACTTGGGATTCCTTAGCGTGATCTTCTCCAGAACTTGGTTTCAAACCTGGATGTTAGGTGTTACAGACAAGAAAGAGTCCATCAAAGAGTCTGTGAAGTCGTATATTCCTGAACTCAACATCTTGGCTTATTAAAAGAGGTGAATTAAGCAGTTAAATTTTGACAGTTGTACCAACCTGATTAATCAATTCAGTGGAGGAGAAATCAAAAAAATCATTTTGTTTCTCATGTTTCTCAAATGAGTAAAATTTAAACATGGTTAAAACCAAATCATGCAGAGGTTGTCAGGGGAATTCCTGGTAAAACTTTTACTCAATTTGCTTAGCTCCTTTGTTTGCTTTGTTTTCCTCCCTCCGACCCCCTAATTGCCAACCCTAACCACAATCCTAACCCCTTTCCCACCACTTTTAGGTAAGTTTTCACTGAACTCACCAATTTTTGGGTTTTGTGTTTGTTGACTAGTGCCTGAATTGCAAAGGAGGCTTGTGGTTGGGTTGCCACTGTGATCTCCTTGCTCCTGACAAGATTGCTGCTCTCCTTCTTTGCTACCTTTAAGGCAACTTGAACCCTCCAATACTATCAACAAAGTGTTTTAATACAAAACGTAAACATTAATCAAAGAAAATTTACACAGGGTTAGTAACCTTGCATGTATTGGGCTAAATTTCTATTGTTGTTTGATTTCTTCATAATTTTTTTTAATGGCAGTTCATTATGAATTTAGGTATTGCAAGAAACAAGCAATGAATAACTTTCCAATCCTGGGGTCACTGCTACAGACATGGAGCATCATTTATTTTTAAAGATGAAAACTTTAAAGAATTTGTCATTACATGGAAGCAGTAGTAACTTATGTAAACCCTACATGCTTAATCATCTAAACTGAAAACATTTAATCCGAGAGAACCCTTGCGAAATGGCTTTTGGAATTCCTAGGAATTCCTAGGATTTTCCTAGGAATTCCTAGGAATTTATTCCTAGGAATTCCTAGGAATTCCTAGGAATTCCTAGGAATAAAGGTGTGAATTTTCACGGTAAATTCGGACTGGGAATTCCTAGGAATTCCTAGGAATTCCCAACCATAACAACTCTGGTTCTAAAAACCTAGAAATTCCTAGAAATTCCCAGAAATTCCCAGAAATTCCCAGAAATTCCAAGTTTATAGCCAACAGGACTTGGAATTCCTAGGAATTCCTAGGAATTCCTAGGAATTCCAACTCAGAGAACCAATGACTTTCCCTGAAAAGCTGTAAATCTAAAAAATTTCTAGGAATTTCTGGGAATTTCTGGGAATTTTTGGGAATTTTTGGGAATGTTTAAGAATTACTGGGAATTTTAAGCAAAAATTTGAGGCTAATGATATAAAATAAATACTTTAAATTAAAAAAAACCCAGCTAAAATTCAAGTATTCAATGAAATTTATTTAGAAGCTTAATTAAGGCTTACATGTAAAATATTTTTGATTAAATAACATCAATGTGTGGTAATATTAGGATGGGATTTGATTTATTTTTCTTTTCTTGAAAACTTCATACGGATTAATCCTCAATTACAGCTATTCATATAAAATAGTTCTAATCAATCATTAAATTTGGTTTGACACAAATTGTGAATAAAATCTGTTGATTCTTTTCCATAAAATATAATATCTTAAGTTATATTTGAAAACCAAGCACTCTTGGGAGTGAAGGGGCTAATTACAGACAAATAAAATTGATTTTTTGATTAAAATCTTGTTGTAACTGTAACAATATATTAGAATGAAGTTATCCTAAACTGCAAACTTAGCTGCTGTTTGTACTGTTTGTATTTTTTTTCCTGGGCTCACAATGAGTTGGTCTTGAATGAGGTTGTCAACAAGAACCTTGACCATTTTGTATCTGGATTCCTTGACATCTGAATTTGAAAAAAAATAATATATTAAAATATGTATATTTAAAGCTCAGACCAGGCTTTTAAGATGGCTATGAGGAAAAGGGCATTCATTGGATTCTCAAATTGAGAAATCTCTGTTATATTGAGTGACTTTTATATTGGAGTTAGTACATCTCTCTCATGGATTTTACTAAAAAAGGGCTGAATACATTATTTTGTTTTTACCAAGGAGGGCTTCTTTATGTACTAAGGTTTGTTTAATAACAGTTCCTATTATGAATCTTGAATGTTCCCAAACGTGACTAGAGGAATCTTTAAACCTTACTGATAGGTTTATTTCATTGTAAAGCATAAGCTTAAGAAACTGCGGCATGCAAGTGACCGATTCGATTCTCAGAATTATTCTAGTTTCAGTTGCGCCGAGCGTTACGTAAGCTTAATTCAACCCGCTACATCTATTCTTTTATAAGATTTTGATCACGTAACGAATATCGCAATTTTTACTCACCACAAACTTTCAAAATCGTAGCTTTACAGATGGCCACTCGACCCTTGTTTGTACCAGTCAATATGTCAACTGTTGTCCCTTCTTTTAACTCCACGGCGCCAACGACTTTCTTTTCTTTTACAACACTCACGCTATTCTCGTTTTCCCATTGAACCACAATAAAAGCTATCTTTAGAAATGTTATATTAAGCAAAACAGTTGAGAAAAGCGATCAACCGATCCAAAGTACATTCAAAGATGAGCGCCAAATGGAGTCTTCTTTGTTTCCGATCACGGGCATGATCACGTGGATCTTTTAGGACTTGTAATTGGCTAGCAAAGTGAATCCGCTGGCTTGCCGATTGCAGTGTTAAGAGAAGCGCCTAACTTTATTCTGACTTCTCCGACCGGTTCTCTGCTTCTAGAAGATGGATAGCTTGGTGATACAAATAAAGATGTGAGCTCACTCTATGTAGAAATAATCGAAAAGAATCGATCGTATTACAAATGCACGATTTGTGGCCGAAAGTTGTCGAGGAAACAAAGACTCGAAACTCACTTGAGTTGTGTTAATGGCCAAGGTGAGAAATAACACAAGCCAATCACAGTTTTGAATGCGACTACAAATCGTCTTTTACCCTCATACTTATAAAAGAAGGATACCACATTCGGAAGTATAAGAGATACATAGATGATCCCAGTGTACCAGTACCTAAATCTACAAAGCTTGACCGTAGCAAGCGTTCAGCAACACGTTCCAACACCGCCATCTCGATTCCTCAGTCAGTCGTTTCCAATGAACTTAAAGCAGTATTGACAACAGAGTAGAGTGCGTCTTACAAAGGAGAAACATTTGTACAAGAGACAGGAGTAGCAATATGCAATTACAGAGGTGCGTTGGAACTCTGGTCCACAAATAGTTATGCACTGCCCGAAGTATAAAACAATCTTGTTGATAGCTGACAGACAGAGAAGAACAACAAGTAAACTTAAGAGCTGTTATTATTGAAGTGTGACTATCACTTTTCATTTTTATATAAAGAAGGACTTGTAATTTGCACCAAAAATAAAAAGATGTAATATTTTTTTGGGAGATCCAGTGATTGGGACATTTAAGAAATTAAGTTATGAAAGGAAACTTGGTTGGTACTTCTCACTACTAACAAGTCTTGTTGACAAATATTTTCAGATCAGAGTTTCAAATAAAGTAAATTGAAGACGTCATATAAAAGGTGTTTTTCCTCTAAGGGAACATTGACTACCTTTGTCTTGTCTGCATGCCCAAATGTTTGCAAAGTGTGTGGATGATCCACAAGTATTGGAACATATACAAAACATTTTTGTAAGAGTTCCAATACTTGTGGATCATCCACACACTTTGCAAACATTTGGCATGCAGACAGGACAGAGGTAGTCAATGTTCCCCTTTTCTTACAAAAATGTTTTGTAAGAATAAAAACAGCAAAACAAATTACAGCAATTAGTCATGAAAATAGAGCAAAAAAATGAAAAAAAAAAGCAGCAACAACAATCATGAAAAAAGAAAGATTAATTAGGTGTTGAATTTGTTTGTCTAAGGCATGAAATTTCTACTAAAAGTATTGTCAACAAAAAGTCTCTGACAGCGTTTGAGGCAACTGAGCTTGACTGTTCCAAGGTTTTCTAACAAAGGCAACCAGTAATGTAGGTTAGGGAAGTAAGATAACAATGTAATTATTGTTAATTATTGTGGAAGTTGGCAATTTCCATTTAACATAACTGACAGCTGGTTCATGAGAAAATCCATATTAATATCAAGATTTACTAAAACTTAGTTTGAGTAATAAATTTCATGATCTTTAAGTTATAAACATGTACATGTATGTATATCTCTTGGTAAGTTTTGTATAGCATACCTTTTATTGAGCCAAAGTTTTAAGCCTCTGAAATTACTCTTTTTCTTAAAACCTTCACATTCAAGGTATTGAGAATTTCTTAGAATTTATGTGGACCTCAGGGTATTAAAATTGCCTCAAATAAAGCTGAGAATTCCTAGGAATTCCTAGGGATTCTAAGTCCTCACAAAACTGGAGTCTTCCTTTCCCAGAAATTCCCAGTAATTCCAAGCTTTTTAAATCAGAGTTAATTTGCATAGTTGGGAATTTTTGAGAATTCCTAGGAATTCCTAGGAATTCCTAGGAATTTTTAGGAATTCCTAGGAATTCCCAGAAATTCCCAGAAAACTGGGAATTCGGTTTGCAAGGGTCATTTGCATAATTGGGAATTTTTGAGAATTCCTAGGAATTCCTAGGAATTCCTAGGAATTCCCAGAAAACTGGGAATTCAGTTCGCAAGGGTAGTACCCTTTCAATTTGTTAGACATCGATGCTATTTCTTAATTATTTTCAGCAGAAATCTTGCCTTTCTTTTATGCACTTATTTGCATATCTCATACAACTGTCATTAAAGTAAAAGAACATTTCACAGAATAATTTTCATGTTGTTTACCTTGCTTCCCTCTATTTGGAACTACTTCTGGTGCAGATGAAGAGCTGGAATTGGGTTTTCTTTTCAATCTTTGAAGCTTTCCTGAAAAATTTGCGAGAGGTGAATGGAACAAATAGGAGAATTTTTTCAATAAGAAGCTACAGTAACTGTGTATATTCTGAAAACCAATTTCATCTTCAAGATTTAAACTTCTCCTTAATAATCATCACAAATGACCAAAATCACTGACAATGGGATCAGATTTATCCTTATGATTCCACTAATTGTTTATCCATTTTCTAGTGTTTTGGCTCTTTGCTTTTGAATTAAATCCTTTGTTTATTGGACCTCCATAACTCAGACTCATGCACTTCTTTGGTCCCATTTTTTTAGGAATATTAAGTAGTCAAATTCAAGATCCATAACATTACTTTTTCCCATGAAATAAAGCGATGTACTGAAAGAATGTTTACACTATTCCATTAAATAATTACACCCACAGCATGCAGCTTGCAACAAACTGATTTACGTCAGCAATTTTTATGTTGTAAAACGTTGTTGGTCAGCTTTAATTTTTTTGAAATACTTTTGGCATTTGTTAACAATGGCACGCAATGATTTGAGAATGTCCATAACTTCATGTGTAATATTGATAAAATGATACAACTTTAGTTTTATTTTTTGCCTCTGTCAATAATATTCACATTTTGATCAGCTGAATTCTTGATTATCAGGATCATTCAACCCAGTCCAGATAACAAAGGTTCAACCGTAATTGCACCTAGCACATGCAAAAGACAAAAGCAACACCAAATCATATCAACCGTGTTCTTATAATTGTGACCAAAAAATCTGTTTGGATAGTTAGGAGTGACCATTTTGTTGGTCTGCTTTCCATCTATGTTTTTGCCCTGCACTTTTTTTTAAAATACATGTAGTGTGATTGCCCTGGAATTTTTTTGCTTGTTCAACTTATAATTGCCTTTATCTCGTAGAAACAGCGTAATAACAAGTATTACAATCATTTTGTAGCTTACATACACATACACACATATTCCATCTTACCCATTGTTTCAGGCATGGGTGGCAGTTGTTGTAGAGAACTACAACCTGATTCAGGAGTTACCTAGTCAGAGTGAAAATACATACACTTTATTAAATTCTAGGATAAAGGAGATAAACTAGCAAATCTGTACAATTACCTAATTATATGGCTTTTATGTGGCCTCAATAGTTTACCTCTCTTCAGAGCTGGTAACTTTGAAAACACCAGTAACTCTCAGCCTTTTTTAACAAAATTCCAAGATATCTCCCAAAACAGTGTTGTAAAAGAGTGTTTTCTAGAATCGCTAAGAAAAACTTATCCTTCTAAAAGACTAAAATTTCTGGTTTAGTTGTCGTGTTAAATAGGGAGGAGATTTCTGCACCATCATATTAAAACTAAAAGTTTTATTTTGAAAGAAATATGATTGGGCAGAACCAGTCAGGAAATAGCTCCCCAAGCAGAGGGAGTACCACTACTCCTTGCTGCTTCATGCTTATGCTCCTTGCTTGAGAGCAGACGTTTATGCTAATTCTAATGTTAACCGTTAAAAGAAATACCGTAATTCTATCATGTAAAAAGCCTTCTTGAATCACCCAGAAAATCTACATATATGCACAGCTATATAGCAAAGCATTTTTTCATTCAAACCTCGCAAAGTACATATAGGGCAGAATTCCCCCTGATACGCCTGTTAATCTTGGTTCCATTCCATAATGATCTTGAGCTGTTGTGGAACTCCAGTCTTGTTCTTTTATCTGCAGCTGTGGCACAGCTTAATCTAAAAGTTTGTGGTGACAATGAATACATTCATGAGAAAAAACATCAATTATACAATAGTGGGTTGAAGTATGTACAGGGTACCACTCCAACAGTGTAAGCAGCTATGGATATTGATATTGAACTGCTAGACTTAATTTGAGCATACTATTTATGAACAGGGACTGCGCAGAAACTTCCCCCTCTTAATTTTCCGAATCCAAAAAAAAATAATGGGTTTGTCAGTGACTCAGTACAGATTTTCCAACCTAATAATGCTAAACAATCGCTAAAACATAGACATACATTGTGATCTGCACACATTGAACCAAAATAGGGTGTCTGGGATTTGTATTTTAATGCCTCATTTTTTCAACTTCAAAGTAGCACTTGTGAGAAAAGTTTTCAGTTTGGATGCTGGATCTCAAGAAATAAGGAAATGATAAAAATATCTGGAAGACTCTTTGGGGTTTCAATATGTTTCTAACATTATCGCAAAATTTCACACAAATTGACCAAATACCAGCCTAAAATAAACTCCCCAAAGATCAGAACTCAAGCCAAAACACTCTACCAGAAAAAGTGACTTGAAATTTTTCAGGGCATCAATATTTGTTCACAGAAATGTTTTTATATCATTGCCAGTGCAGGCTGTTAACCAATCACATTGGAGCAAGCCATTTGACACTGTCTGCCTGCTGGAACCGCAAAAAGGACTTGTTGCTTTTGGACATGTTAACAGCTTGAAGACAACAATTGAATTGCAAAAAACAATCTCTCTACCTTTCCAAAAGAACGAATGAATGATTTTGGAACTGAACAAAACTGCACAGTGAGCTTTGAAATTCAACAGTTGTTTTGAAATTGTTAATTAAGTGACTAGAAGAAGTTGCCATGAAGTGTCACCAATCTCACACCTGTTCTACTCTCAAATTACCTTTTGTGTTATCCTCCTTGGAAGTTGATTCATCTTTATATACATATATATAATATATTAAATTTTCAGGAAATTGAAAGAAAATAATTTTTTTCCTTCTGTGATACCTTTAATGCTAGTTTATTTAAATAACAATGAAAACAGGAAAAGCATTAAAATTTGTAAAAAAACTGCTTGTCTACTACTTCAAAGTGTAAATAGATTTCCCCAAAGTCATGTTTGGAAGGATCAAAATAATTTAGGACAATTGCCGACAAATCAATCCCTAGCTTCATTACCACTTGAATTTTTGCTGTATGGGTCCTCAATTCCCTTAACTCTCGCGAATGACCGAGACAGAATTTTTCCCGACAGTATCGTGATCAATACAGTATCAACCAGATATGTGATAAGAATGAGCAAAAATGTCAAATTTATAAGGGGATTGCTACTTGATCCAATACCAATTTTCCGTTCCATTCCCGCCTGAACTATTAAGCTGTAGAAATATCTGACAGTCCATTACGATTTACCTGCCATAATTTCTTAAAATCGGGAAATGGCGGCGGAGCTCTTCCTCCACATGTTTTTCTGTCATAGTCTTGGTGAACTTAAAATCTTCTTTAAATTGCCCATGTTTGGGCTTCTTCAATCGTTGCATTTCCTTATTGTTCGGCATGTAGACTTTGCCGTCTTTTTTTTGCACATCAGAGTCCAATAGCAACACAACATTTTTCGAGAATGCTTCTCTCCTGCGTGCTGTTGAGCCAGAGTTATCACTCGTGTGCCTTATGGGATCTCGCTCGTCGCTACTTGAATCATCGTCTACGTGTCGAGAGAGCTCCATCATATCACTGCAAAGTTAAATCGAAGATTTGACAAACCAACATAATTTCAACTTCTTGACAATAAGCTATGAAGAAATATTAGACTTTTTGCAGTGTAGAAACCAACCCATATTCACACTTCGTAAAAAAAAACTGTGAAGAAATCTCAATTTTTTAGTGAGGAGATAATATACAAAGCAACTTCCTCGAACCAGGTTTCTCAACGTAGACACCACTCAGAGTACCATCATAACAACTTCCTTTGAAGATACAAAAATTTTGGCTTATCACTACGTTCCACTGAGAAGATAGATCGATAAACACAATCACGAAAATACCAGATGGTTTCTTAACTAATACAAAAACGCACTCGCACAAGATAAGTGAGCCTCCTACTTCCTTGAAGTTCTATTGCGTTGCTAGCGTCTAGCTCTCCGTTCGATGACATCAAACATTCCAATTTATAAGCGTGTTTGTCAAGCTTAGAGGCCTAAATGATGTTCTTTCCCATTAATAAACCATCCAAATAAGTGTTAAATATAATTCCTAAAATAAAAAACACGCGCGAGGAGTAAACAAGCGCCTGAGGGAAGGATAGGAGGAAGAACAACTACTTAGTCAGCAAATTATGATACGTGCGCAGCAAATAAGTCATTTTGATACAACGTTCGTGACCTATGATACAGCCACGTAGTGATGTTTTTGTCCTTATAAGCCTCCTTCTTCCTACTTCAGAATTTAATTTTGATCAAATAATGATTGGACATCAAAGACAGATCGCGAGCAAAACTTGAACTGCCCTGAGATCAGAGAAAGTGGTTGTCGAAGTCGCGAAGAAAGGGAGAACTATCCGTCAAGGACCCCTGGTACACCTAGGGTGTTCACTCGCTAGCATAAATAGAGAGGCTTTTGAGGCGGTAGGAACGTGGGGAAGGGTAGGTAAATTATTAAAAAAACGTTGATACAAGGAGAATTCGAGTCGAAGATTAATGCATGCAGATGCACAACAAGTAATCCAGGAAAAAATACAAAAAGATACAAGACAAAACAAAATAGCAAAAAAGTCGAGCTTAAGGTTTCCCGAAAAAATGAGATACATCTCATGTACGAAAGATATGAAACTTCACGTTTTAGTAATTAAAGTTCTCAAACTTAATAACAAACCTTGAGAAACAATTTCCTTGGACTAAAATATAGTCCTAGTATACACGCTGTCTACTCGCTTTGTTTCTCGCACGGGTTTCCTGATTGCTTGAAGAAAACTAAACCGACCGCCGTCAATGAAGAGTAAGGAGCCGCGGTTTAGTTTACAAAAGTCAGTAGAAATGAGCAGATCGATAGACATTTGCTCGCTGATACAACCATTTTGACTTCTGTACAGGGTATGTATCAAAACAAATTTGCATACTATTCTACCAATCGAGCAAATTGAAATATACGAGTAAACGAATTACTGGTTGATGATTGATACAACCTTTATGACCTCTGCACAAAGAATACTGGCCTATGAACACATTTTCACGATCGTAGATAGCATCGCAGCAAACACAGGTTTTTATGACACCAAACAAAACTCCCTAGGCTAAGTTTCGATAAAAAAAACTCCGGATACACGTTAGAAAAACAGAATTGCAGTGGCGAAGCAGGCACGGTCTTAAATTGACGAAATGCCCGGCATTCAAAAATGTACGGCTGCTGGGCATTTAGCCACTGCATAGGTATCATTTGGCATACTTAATAAGTCCAAGGAATAAGAAATCTCGCTAAGATTATTTTGATAGTTCAGTTAATAGTTAAGTTAACTTCACTTAACCACCTATGTATGTGGTTAACCGGACTTCGAGGTAATTATCAAGCGGATTTTGGAAAACTATAAATCTCACTCACCTCTCTGTACACTTGCTCTAGCGCTTCTGAAGGAGCTGACGTCGTTCTTTTCGTGTCACACGTTTATAACTGCCAGACAAGTAATGAATTTCACCCGGCAGATTGATAATTATCGCAACCAAATAAGGAATGGCTTTTACGTATATGTCATATCTGACTAGGAAATGAACAAACAAAAAACAAACAAAAGTTTCACGTTACGCTGACATACTGATGTAAACTCTGGCTATGCGTGTGTCAATAAACACGCCCTTTGATAAGATAATCAGTATTCGGTTTCATGCTCGGTTCTAATTAGCAAAATAACTTAAATGTTCGCAGTGTTGAGTTCGCAAGGTTCGCAAAATTCAGTTTTTAAGTTTTTCATGGTTCAGTTCTGAGATTCGTGTTCCGTTTCTTCACAGTTTCCTTTACTCACATCTACCTACTGTATTGATATTTGCTTGCTGATACAACATTTTAGACCTCAGTACAGGGTATGTATAAAAATAAATTTGCATACATGTCCACCAGTTGAGCAAATGAATAAGTTGCCGGTAATCCTATCGTTGCGTTTGTACAAAGATTTCTGGGATTGCCAAGTGGCAAACATTGCAAATTGCTAGAAAAAAAAGTGTGGCGAAAGGTTGTTTCGACGTCCAAAAAGCCCTATTTTGGAATGAGGTCAACGCTTTTCGCCGCAGTTTTATCACAAATGGATTAAGATAATGTTGATACGAGGGAAGAATAAGTTTTATTAGAATTACCACGAAATGCATACGTAGTATGCAAGAGTTATTTTTTCGGCTGGGTAGGTTGAGATGGGACACTTTGTGTACCACATGTTTTTGTAACAGAAAACGAGCATAACTTCCAAACGGACGAAAATATCAATGCATCGATGCCACACGTACCGTTGTTCTCTCGCAGCCGTTGTTTGGTCTCGTCATACAACGCCATATATTCCCCGCTGGAGAGAGAGCGCGTTGCGTGATGAGACTAAATAACGGTTGCGAAAGAGACTACTCTTACTGCCGTTACTTGTGTGACCTGCATTTGACGGGCGTCTTAAAAGTTTTAACTATAATAGATCAGAAACCCACGGACTTAAAATAAAAAGGGAAATCAGCAAATATCAAAGATATCAGAGAGTTTGAGTGAGCTGACGGAAAATGACGGCAGAAGAACTTCAAGGGAAATGACTTCAATTCGATCAAGCGGAGACGGTGAGTTCTTGGCTGAGTTATCTTTGTTCGCGTTGCACAAGTCTAGCTCTTATCTATATTGAACATAAGTCTTACCTCTCAGCAATTGAATTGAATTGCTGTCGAACTTTTATCGCTAAGAGGACGTAAAAGTCGGTGTTTAACGTTATAGTTCTGTTTAGGACGGCTACGAAATTTACAAAGTTTTAAAACACACGTGTTTATTCTGCTCATTTGACCTCTTTGTAACATTAACGCGACGCCGGCTAGACGTTTTCATGGCAAATTGTCACCCACGCTGACAGGGTTACCCTGCTCTGCAGACCGGACCACCCTCGTAGGCGGGTCACCCCGCTTATCATGTTAACATGATCAAGATGGAATAAGAGATTGTATGCAGAGGCGGGTTACCCCACCGAGGCGGGTTACCTCACCTACCTGGGGCCCCCACCTCCATGTAAACAGGCCCTACAGGATGACGGAAAGAAGGGGCGGGTACATTGATAGACTAGAACAAGGTTTGGGGAAGGGGATGGTCTCCATACTGCTGCGGCGGACAAGTGAATTGGTCGTTGATTTGCATAAAGGTTTGAAAGTGATATTTTGTAGAGGTGACTTCTCCGCTCTTAAAGATTTTGAAAAAGTTATCCAAGAGTCAAGGGAAAACAATCATTAGTTTGGTTACTGACTGACTGAATTACTGAATGGCTGAGAGGCAGAGGGCCTAACTGACTGACTGACTCACGGACTGACAGCTGACTCAGTGGCTGAATGACTTGGTGGGCTGTCTGTTGGCTGGAGGGCTAACTGATCGATTGATCCACTGGATAGCTGATTAACTGACTGGCTGGCTGACTGATTGTCTGACTGTATGAGTGAGTGAGTGACTGATTGATTGATCGACTAGATGGCTTACTGACTGTCTGACTGGATGGGTGAGTTACTAACTGATTGATTGATCGACTGGATGGCTTACTCATTGTCTGACTGGTTGGGAGAGTTACTGACTGACTGATTGATCGACTTGATGGCTTACTCATTGTCTGGCTGAATAGGTGATTTACTGACTGATTGATCTATTGAACGACCCACTCACTCAATGACTGGATGGCTGACAGATTGTCCGACTAGATGGGTGAGTTGCTGACTGATTGATCGACAGAATGACTCACTCACTCAGTGACTGGATGGCTGATGGATTCTCTGACTGGATGGGTGAGTTACTGACTTATTGATCGACTGAATGACTCACTCACTCAGTGACTGAATGACCGACTGATTGTCTGACTGGATTATTGACTCATGAGAAATTATATTTCAAGACCGCACTAACGGTCCTTAAATATGATGCACAACGGATGAGGGTTTCAGGTGCGAATCCAAGAATTTCTCAAAGGGGGGGGGGGGGGTTGTACACTACTGTAGTAACCTTTAACGCCAATGGTGTGGACGGCGAGTGATGGCCCCGTGCCTCTGGTGCGAGCTCTTAAGGGGTCGGGAGCCATGCTCCTCCCCCCCTTCCCCTCCCGCAAAAAAAAAATTTTCGATTTTTTTCCCTCTAAAGCGCCATTTACAGAATTCCTGAGACTTGAAAAGAGTTGTGAAGGTATGATATAAAATCTGGAGTTTATCTTATTTCTCAGCAAGAAACCCAAAATAAAAGAGCGTGATTGAAAGGGACAGCAGTATCAAAAATAGTTAATTGTCGTTTCTCTACATACCTCGTTAATCAAACAACGTAGCCTGAAAGAGTCTCCTAGGATGAGCTTTTACAAAGGCCTGGAATATCTCGTCTACCTCGAATCTCTTAGGGTAATGCATAGCAATAATAGCGCTCTTCACACATTGTTGATCTGGTGCACGTCTTGATCCGTTTCATGAGCGAAAAGGACCGCTCAGCTTCCGCACTACTGATTGGTAGGGTGCATGCAATGAGAAGAAGACGATGGATGTTTGGAAAAGCATCCTCATCACACGCGCCAAGCGCTAGTAGAAGATTGCTTGGAAGTTCCTTCTCTACTGACTGCCACATAATTTGCTATCTTCGCAGCTCATTCCCAAGGGATTTGGGAAATGGAAGGTCATTCTCCCAGAACAACATGCCTTCTGTTGCTTCAGATAGCTCCAGGGTGTTATTAAATATGATAGAGGGTACTAGATAAAACAAGTGACAGGCGTGGCGATCTTCGTCAGAAAATCGGTCTTGCATTTGAACAATTAGAGAATCAAGAAAGGGAATAGCCACAGATTTTGTGTAATGATCAATCGGACTACAACTGGGAATGTTTAAGCGATTCTCATGTATGCTTTTCTTTCTGGGAATAGCCTCAACGGTTCCCAATTTCTCAGCAAGGTCTACTATTTGTTTGTACCAGGCGAATTGCACCGTATGTCGAGGCTATTAACTGTTGAAAATAGTTATCGGTGTTATAGAAGTAAATTAAATGAATTTATATAAAAAAGAACCACGAACTTGCCTGATTTCTTTGTATAAAATTCTGTTCTTTTCTTCATTCCCAATGTTGAACACACCTCAACAATACTCAAACATTCGCTTGGTCCCAATTCCACTCGTTTACTTTAAATGATGTCACACCTGTTCATGTTGCTTGTTATATCTGATCCTGATAAGACCTTCTCACATGTCGCGAAATGTACGTTACTTTTCATAACTTGACAAGCAGTCGAATGGTGGAAGTGGAAAAACTTTGTAAAAAAATTTTATTTATAATAAATTTAGGAAGAATAAAACAAACAACAAGACACAAATGCTCCTCAAAGGGGGGGGGGGTTTGCAACCCCCTCAACCCCTCCCCTGGATCCGCCTCTGGGTTTGTATTGATCTTAGAAGAGGTCACGACAGAAACACAAGTGAACGATGATGAAACGTTACGAGCCAGGTGCACGTGCAGAATGTAAAAATTATCTTATATTAGAGGCCGGTGGGGGGGGGGGGGGAGGAAGAGAGGAGGTGGGAGCACTTCATAGGCTATTGGGGATGTGCCGCTGTTATGTAATGGGGTCGCATTTAATCCTTTAACTCTCAAGATCCGATGGCTAATTCTCCTCTGTAGCTACTAAACACTTTCTTGTAAATTAGTTAAGAGGTTTTGATGTTAAAGCAAGGTAAAAACTTCTTCCTGATATGTTTGAGTATTCTCATAACCTGTTTGCTGGATAATGAATGAATATTTTAGGGAGAAGTTGCATGTCAATCACTTCTGGGAGTTAAAGGGTTAACGACTGGATTGACTATTGTGGGCTTGCATTTTTTATAGCATAACTGGAATGGGTTCGCAAATTTTTGGGATGTTGGCAGAAAGAAAATTGTGGTAAGTAGGGATTTAAAAATAAGTAGGATATAATCGAACCGGTTTTAACCAGTCACCAAAGGGGAGTGGCACCTACTAGAGGTGACTGCTTAACAGAGGTGAAAAAACAGTGGTTAAGAGGAAACAAATTTGGGACTTTGATAACTGACCGCATGATACAGAGTGACCGCTTCATACAGGTTCGAATGTACATTAACAGAAAGTTACAAGGTTGGAATAGGGAAAATTGCATTTTCCCAAATGAGGCACCCATCCGGCAAAAAATTGACCCAAGTACCTCCCCTCGGATGAAATGAAACTCAAAAGAGTCTGAAAATATGTTCGCGGTGATACTCGCAATAAAGCAGAAAATTAAAATCAGGAGATTATTAAGGAGCTTGCATGTACTCTTCTGGCGTCCTGATAAGTCCCTTACATCGTTTTGCCAAAAAATATGCAAAGAGTATCGCCCGTAAATCACTTACAGGATTCTCATTATATCTAAACAGCTTAACTCAGTCATATAAGGGAACGATATGAATTGCTGTTACGTTGAAATGTC